CTGCTCGTGGATCTCTGGCCTGCTCGTGGATCTCTGGCCTGCTCGTGGATCTCTGGCCTGCTCATGGATCTCTGACCTGCTGGTGGATCTCTGGCCTGCTCATGGATCTCTGGCCTGCTGGTGGATCTCTGGCCTGCTCATGGATCTCTGGCCTGCTGGTGGATCTCTGGCCTGCTCATGGATCTCTGGCCTGCTCATGGATGTCTGGCCTGCTCGTGGATCTCTGGTCTGCTCATGGATCTCTGACCTGCTCATAGATCTCTGGCTTGCTCATGGATCTCTGGCCTGCTCATGGATCTCTGGTCTGCTGGTGGATCTCCGGCCTGGTCATGGGTCTCCAGCTAGCAGCCACATTCTCATCAAGTTGGCAGGGTAACGGGGTTGAGGGAACAGCACAGCTGCAGGTAGTAATTCAGGGTCTTATAAGATCGTGTACAGTTCTTGCTAATCAGGTTGGCAGAGTTTGGAGACGCCTCAGAAGTCAAGGTCTTGTTTGGAGAGCGGGAGAGGGAAGAGGAGAAAGGGGGCTCATTCAGCGCCATCTTGGCTACGATCCTTTCATTCTGACCCCGAGCTCCAGGTTGGAGCTGGGTGATCTCGGCCAGGGATGGCTTTCAGGCTTCTTTTCAGCCTCGTGCACAGCATTCCACACACACTCGCTTCCAAAAACGTTGGGGAGGAGGCCGCAGCTAGAAGACGAGTGGAAAGGAGTTTGCTTTCCCCTCGGGCTTAAAGGATAGAATCTCTGCAGCTTTTCCAGCTGGAAAACCTGCTTAACAATAAAATAGCAGGGTTCGAATGGGTGCCTTCCCCACCATGACGGCCCCAGACTCAACCCCCAACATCCTAACTGTTTCTCGAACGTGGTGTTCGGTGCCGTTGTACAACAGATCACAGCACTGCCCGCCGGCACCACTCAAATCCAATGATTATGTTTGAGCCCGTTGTTGCTACAGCTTCTGGGTTATCGCAAATGTCAATGCCGTTGATAATGCAAATATTACAGTTATGAACCAGGAACAGAGGCACTAACTCGGGCACAGCGAGGAGTCTGTAGGAAATGAGGAATCTATCAGCATAACCACTACCACATGGTAGAGTTTGCTGCGAAACTGTAAAGCTGTTGCAATATCCCTTCTGCTTCTCTATAACAATTTTATGGCCGATAAAACATGGATTGGTTCGAGTAGTTAAAATGCACTTGCCCTAAAAAGCCTGATGCGACACAACGTGACTGCGGCATAAACCCGGGAGCTGCCGTGCCCTGAAGAAGGCAGAGGGCACGTCCTCACCGACAGTTCAAAGTTGGACCGAGCTTAACGAGGCTTTCTTCTTGTTAACTGCCACCAGAACTGCCACCACAAGGTTGATCTCATTGCCGGGAATGGGCTCTAACTGGGTACATGCAGGAAGATTCCTGATGACCCCAAGAATCCGATGACTCTGGTCACCAACCCTCTGGTGGATCTACATGATAGGAAGGCCTGCATCAAACTATCTTCCCTTCATGGATTGGATTTAGAGATGTTGGTCTCCAGGGAAAGTTCTGGTTTTCTGAATAGACTAGATCTCTCTTCTCTCCAGCACTGCTGTGGCCGGCTGCCGTGGAAGCAGCCCCCGGCTCATGTCAATCCCATGCACAACAGAACAAAACGCTGCCTGGTCCCATGCCATTTCTATGGTCAGTTGCACGTTGGCCCTTTGTGACCCATAAGGTTGATCTTCAGAAGACAGTCAGACCTTGTTTTCTAGCCCATCATTGTCTGGAAGCTCTCCCGGAGCCTGTTCAGCATCATAGTGACACACAAGCCTCCAACCTTGCAGGAATGATGGCTGTGCATAAGCTGCTACGATTGGCC